AAATGTGTCCAGCAGTTAGTGGACTATAGGTGGGATGTATGCAGAGCTGTGGATAATGCTCGTTGTGAAATGTTGCACACCTTATAACTTTTTTACTTGCGNTATGCAGAACTACGGATAATGCTCATTGTGAAATGTTGCAAACAGCACTATCATAGCTGTTTTTATTCCTAAGCTACAGGTGCCTGAAATCCCAGCATTCTCTGTGGTAGACTTATATGATACTGTGTTCAAGGTATGGAGGCACAAATCCAGCGTTTTAACCGATTCCTTTTCATTCATTTACAGACCTTGTGTGTCATTTACCCTTCACCTCTGGTTGGCATTTAAATTCTTACTCACCTCCTATGCCAGAGGATATTTAAATTAGAGAGTGCAACATTTCACTTAAAGTGTAATAAATTGGAAAAACTGGAGTTTTGTTTTTCTAATTTTCACGCTACATTCAGAAATGTATATAGAATCGGTGTATTGATCTACACTGCTTTAAAATTACGTCTTTGATGTCTGTTCATTTCAGACATTGAGTGCTATCATTTTGGCTCATTACACTGCATAGGAGGCTCTTTTTATAATGTGACTTCACAAACTATAAAGCAGATTGCTTGTACCGGTTCTCATGGTCCCTTTGCTTGCGGATTTTCTTATTTTTCCTTCTGCCCTAAAGAAAGAGGCTATACGTTCCTCCGAAACGTCGGTTAACACCACATCTACACGGTGCTACATCCCAGAAGACTGCTTTCTTCATAGTCACCGCCGTGAAAACCTCAAATCTTACATTTAATATTTGTATTTGTCAGAACTGGATATCTTCAGCACATGTTACTGTACAGGAATGTATAGTATTGAAGAACTGAAACGCTGTACTAATGAGAGTTTAAGAAATCAGTTTGTGAAGCTCGACTGAACACACATCAGCCTTTGCTGCCTGTAGAAACTTGCGTGAAGTCACAGACACTTGCCTGGTGCCTGATGCCAAATCACTCGAAATGTTGGACTAGAGCACAGCTGGATTATAGAGATGAACTGTAATCATGAAGCTTCCAAAACTTATTTACACATGTCAACTTGTGCGGGCTAGAATCGTGGATAAAAGTTTTACATAGCAATCACTCCATGTAAGAGTTCTTCTTGCGAAACCAGTGGCATTCAGGTAAAAAAATTCCCCACCTTTTATGAACCTAAATGTTCATTGTCATTCACACAAGCTCACACCACAGGACCTTGTGTGAATGGAATAACATATGTAATACACGTATAGTTGAACAGCAATTGAGATACTATATTGTATAAGACTAAGATTGTATAACTGTGAATTGTATAAGTGTAAAAGCAAAGGAGTATGCAATAAATTTGCTACATCCTTGACCTACGTGAAGTTATTTGTCACATGATATACCCAACACGTGACAATATTTAGTTCATAACAGTTCCCCTAGGCAGAGATAGGTTTGTATGGTAACAAGTGCACCAAGTGTTGAAATAGAAAAGTTTTTTAAAGAATTCAAATGTATTATAACACCTGCAGGAAGTTCAAAATGGGACAACAAATATACAGAATGATAGCCCCAAATTTCCTCTTTAATTTCATACCAAAAGCATTACTTTACATGAACAACAAAGGTTCAGAATACGAGCTGAAACTAGAGCCACAATACGCATCCCCCGTACTGACTTCAGCGACATGTGACAGAAGCCACTGGCGTGCCAGGTACGGAGCCCAGCACTGAAGGGTTAAACATAGTCGGTGATCAGAATAAATTATGATTCTGTTTCAGATGAGGATGGTGGGATTCAATGATGACCCCTGCGTGAAAGAGTTTGGTCTGTCAGTCAGTGATCGATTTGAAAAAGTAGAGGCCCGTATACTGGAGGCACCACAATTACAATACAATATTCAAGCGGTGAGTATATATTTCAGAATCATCTAAAGCTATGTGTGAAGGGATCACATGCCAAAAATTTCTTGATAAGGAAATATGTGTGAGGGAGATTACCGACATACATTATAATATAGAAATTTTTGATTCTGATGAGATATAATGTAACGTCTTTTTGTGTTATTGTCCCCTAAAGGTTTGTGACAGTGGTCTGTTTTTTATTATAAAATTTATGTTGAGCATTGTTCATTGTCTTGGTCTGTTTTTCATCATAAAATTATACTGGAAATTGTATGTCTTCTTCTGTGCATTTAATTGGTACAGTGTGTGAAGAGCTAGATATGCTTCTGTTGGCAGGTGTAAGCATGGAATTCGTCCATTAGACATAGCTAGTCTCTATCAGTGGATCAGCCAATCAAACGTAGATGTCAGACCCAAATGACTCCTGTTTCTTCAAGAGAGATAGTGATTCTTTGATATAAGTTATCAGTACTGAATTCTCCAGAGGAGTTGGTATTTGCTATAAAGGGGTGTTTCTGTTATGATTCCTGCTTGCAATTCTGTCTCTGACATATGACATTTGACAATAAGAAACTAACTCCATGGAGCTGAGTCCTTGAAGAGCCACCAGTCATTTAGCTACTGAAGAATTTCCCGGTATTTTATGGAGCCTGAAAGTTCATTACCATGTTCATGACAGCCCTCAATTGGTCCCTGTCCTGAACCAGATCAGTCCAGCCCGTACCACCTCATCCTGTTTCTTTAAGAGATCCATTTTAATAGTATTCTGCCACCTACAACTAGATCTTCCCTTCTGGCTTTGCCACCAAAATTCTATGTGTATTCCTCTTCTCCATGCATGCTGCATACCCTGTCCATCTCATCATCCTTGACCTAATCATTATAATTACGTTTGGTGAAGAGTGCAAGGTACAGAGCTCCTTGTCATGCAGTTTTTCTCCAGTCACCTACCAGTCCATCCCTCTTTGGTTCAAATATTCTCAGCACCCTCTTCTTAAATTGCCCAAAGTCTTTGTTCTTCCCTTAATGCCAGAGACCAAGTTTCACAGCCATGCAAAATTACAGTTTTGTTTATTTTAATTTTAATGGTTTTAGACAGCATACAAGACAGTAGGTTCTAAACTGAATGGTAACAAGCATTACCTGATTTCAATCTGCTCCATTTTCTAATGCTTCAGATTTGCTCACTGCCTGCTTTGCACTGGTTTCTTGCTTGGCTTATTCTTCAACCTGAAGAAGGAGGCAACATGATGCTCCAAAATGTCAGTTAATTTTTGGCAGACTACATGGTTTTATATCTCAGAAGATAGAACTGTTCAAATTTAGATTTGTTACTGTCATTTCCAAATATTTCTACTTTGCACATTTTCAAAAGATCTATTGGCTATCTTTATGTTATGATTATTGCCTTGCATTCTGGTAACACAGGGTTTTGGGCTGATGCTTCCAGGTGTTTGATTTCAAATTTCTCATTTCTACACACAGAACTTTGACATTTGACAGTAAAAAGAGAATTAAGAAGTTAAGCGCAGTGCTACAGACTAGCTCTTGTCTAGCAGGCCCAGCTGAGTAGGATGTTTTCCCATTTTAAACCTGATGATGGAAGCAGATCCAGCTTCCAAGATATCATGTGATTTAAATATACCTAAGATGATGAACAGTGTCTGACATAATTTTATAATGACCTTTGTGTGTGTTATAATAACTCTCATGCTGCCTTCCATTGTTGATGTGCAGTCCAGCTGTTCTGACATCTTGTATAATTTACCTTCATTTCCTCCAGGCATTCACCAGGATAGGTCCATAGACCATGACAGCTTAATTCAGTTTCTCAGTTCATGACTATCATCCTCCTATTAAATGCTGTATGACCACTGACTATACAGTGTTATCTTAGTGAAATTAGCTGTGCAAGAATATATATGTGTGTGCAATAAATGAATATCAGGTTCAGTGACATGGGAAAAATCGCAAAGAACCTGTTTGCAAGATGAGTACTCCAGTAGGATACATGTTTCTATTCAGTAATCATCTTTCAGTCTGAATGAACTGTACAAAAATTCATCTTCATCTAGCATTAAGATCACAGACCATTGATTCCCTTTCAGTATATTCAGATATGATGTATGTTGATTATAGATCTTGAAGTAGGTAACGTTGCTCTATAAGCTTCAATCTTATAATATGCTATAGAATGTAAACACAACCCATAATCTGAATGGAGAAGTGTGTTGTGTGTCACAAGAGACTTGGAAAGATCTTAACATTAACGTTCTTACTGCAGGACAGAAGAAATATTGTGATGCCCATGAAGGGCGTGTGGAGACCAAAATCATTTTTGAGCTGTAACAAGTTGACACACTGGATTATCCTGAATTTAGACAGATATACAAGAGAAGATAATTTGAGGTTAGTAAAATGGCATTACAAAAAAAATGCTTTATATGTCTATGTAAAATCAGAAGAGAATATTAACAGGCACTTACCGGCAGCCTAATTCATACTTGGAAGGTACCTGATTTTAATTTTATGGGATACCAACATTCCTCCCCATTTTGTATACTTAGTCGCCTGAATAAATGCCACTTCCTGCCACAAACTATCTGGTTCATTGTTCACTGACAACGTAGCATTTAATTCTCTGTAGTCCAAGCTACTGATGTTACATAAACCGCAATTAAATGGAAGGTGTGAAGAATTGTTTTGAACTCTTTGCACTTTCTTTGGAGATGGGTCAGGTAGACAAGTTTATGTTTTCCATAATGGGCTGTTTATATAAATCATGTAAACATCTACTCAGAAGTTTTTATCATAACATTTTGGGAAAATTTGTGTGAATATTGAATTATATAAGGTAACTGTGATTCTTCTGTGTAGGGTATCCAATCCTCTAATAATGTGTAATCTGATACATTTATATATGACATAAACACCATCCTAAGTGCAACAATTTATTGTAGTTCTTTTGTCTTGCCCTCTTCTACACTACATGTTTCGGCCTCAAACGGCCATCATCAGGTGTATACACTTACGTAGCTGTTACACTGCACTTAGTTTAAAACTTAAAACCATGAGTCTTCCCAATTGTTCTTTTCGTCATTACTAACAGGTTTTGATTTATTAGAGTCTACTTCGCTGATATCTGTCTGATTTGTGCATTGTCTTTGTTACTTACACTCATCAATTTTGATTATTATGAACTGGCACTTTTAAAATCTTCAGTTCTAATTTAAAAATTCAATTCAGTTCATGTTTATTTAACATGAATTGAATTGAATTGAATTGAATTTTTTAATTAGAACTGAAGATTTTAAAATTCTTTTAAAAATAAAAATTCTCAGGGTTACTCGCCCTATGTCTGTAGTGCTGCAGCGGCTACTTCTTGTTTTCAGCACTGTTATCTGTAATATACAGATATTTGTATTATTATCTTATGTGCATTATGTTTTCTTATGTGTTTATATTGTTATTTGTACTTACTTTGTGTAGGCTCCCTGTGTGCCTGCCGCTGCTTATCTTTACTACGTGTGCTGTGTTATATGTTGGTGAGCGTAGGGGGGGATGGGTAGTGGGGAGAGGGAGGTACCATTAGTCTGTATAGATTTTGCGTATCGTTTGAAATATGGGATTGTGTGTTTCTATGTGTGTGTCATTCATGTGTAGGTCCTTCTTACTTATTTTATATATATGGTATTTTTCTAATGTATTCAAATGTCTACCCTTCTTTCCCATTGTTACAATTTCCATGACATCTGTTGTTGTTCCGTATGCATGTCCCGCATTTAGTATGTGATTTGAGTCCCCGGATGATGGCCGTTTGCGGCCGAAACGTAGTGTAGAAGAGGGAAAGACAAAAGAACTACAATAAATTGTTGCACTTGGGACGGTGTTTATGTCCTATATTGTATAGAGTGCAATAGGATGCCTAAATATAATATTGATACATTTATGTTGTAGGCATTTTGAAGGTGAAATGCAGAAAATGGGAAGAAGTTTGGGAATGGACATTGGCCCTGCTTTGAGCCCATACAGTATGCCTTCTCCAACAAGAAATACAAATGAGCTGATGGAATTCTTTAAAAGAATGAAGAACAAAGTTCAGCTCGTTGTCGTGGTTATTCCAGACAAAGGAGATTGCTACGGTAAGGGACTCAGCGCTTAGAAAGATACATTATGTTTTTAATTTTCATCATTTTGGAGTAGAGAATTTTAAATTCCCTGATACTGCAGTGCTAGAGGTGAGATCCTAACTCAGGAATAGCAGCAGTGTTATTGAAATAATGCATATCTTGGCCAGTTGAACCATGTGGACGCAACATAAATGTTGAGAAGGTTAGTAGCCCATTTGTGTTACACTGTAACTAGAATGGAATGAGTAGCCTATAAAACTTTATTATAGCAACAGATATCATTAGCACTACCAGATGATCCCTAATGAGTAATGCCTCTGCTACAGAGACAGAACAGTAATGCTTTGGCTTTACCATGTCCTGATTTGCTCAAAAGTTATCAATGGTAATTTCGTTTATGGTTCTGCTTCCAAGTCCAAATTATGTATTTAAATCCCATCCATAATGCTGAGATTAATCTTGAAACTGGCACTTTCTACACAGTCACTGTGTAAGTGTTTCTATGGAATCTGAAGGAACTACCACTTTCCCTGCAGAGGGACCTCCTGCTCTGCAGTTATGTAGCCCCACTTGCAACACAGTTTCATCAGCCATCTTATAGTATACTTTCTTTATGACTCTTCATTACAAGTATGAGACCAACACTGTAGCTCCTTGACCAGTGGGAGTGTGTTTCCAAGAACTTCTAGGAAATCTCCATATTAAGTTGACATGTATTGTCTCAGACATACCTCACTTTCACTGTGGCTTCTTGTTCTAGATACTTGTGATCTGTATATTGTTCATAACAAAAAGGCGTAACACCATTCACTTTATATACAGACATTACTTTGTTGAGGTGACCTCTGTTTATTCCAATGACACCGTTATATATATAAGCAGATCCGTAGTCAGTGTATCAGCTGTTTTCACATTTGCTGCTGATGGTCATATTTTCAGATTTCACCAACATGATTTTAGCCACAGCAAAACTGTATTCAGTATGCTGAGCCATTACATTAGTTGTTACACCAAGACACACTTTTTGATCTGCACAGACTTACATAGTGCCATTAAAGTATACTTGTATCAAATACCTGATCACATAACCACAATTCACATACTCTACCAACTTTCTCACTGGTACAAGAAAGGCTCCTGTTTTCTTCTGTTGTGTGCCTGGGGTATCCCCAGGAGCAAGGCGAGTGACACTGCTGCCAAAGAGCCAGCTGCAGACAAAGTCCACTCGTATAACGGGGTTCTGATAACTGCATCACATGTATGGCATGGGGAGACAAGTTGACAACACATGGCAACAAGCTATGACATGTAAAACCTACAATACAGATCTGGCAGTTTTCCTCTAGAGCCATCTTGAGGGAAGAAGTTATCCTGATGTGTCTCGGCATTGGTCAAGCCTCTCAGATGTATCTGTTACATGATGGAGCACCAGCTCGTGTCCTTTCCATGATAGGACATTCACTGAGATAACTCCAGTGGGAGTGCAATTTTAACATATCTGGTGTTATGCTCACAAAATCAATATAATATGATTTTTACATGTTTAATAATTGATGTTTTATGTGACACACATGCAGAGGTGCATGCGTGCGGGGAGGGCACATGCATGTGCACTGAGGGACAAGCATGACCACAGGAGCTCTCTGGACCTACATACATACTACAGGTGGTTTATCTCCAGCTTCACCAACATTGCAAAGCTGCTCACCAGACTTACAGAGCAGAAACAAGCTTTTCAGCGGTCCCCAGCAGTAGAGATAAAGATCTCTTTTACAGTCAGTCTCTTCAATGGTCTTTCCCAGTTTTGTGATCTCTGTTGTTTGTAATTTGTTTAACCTCTAACGTATGGACTTTTAAATTGCCAGCAGCCCTCTGCGGCCGGAATTTAAATCGCCCTAAGTCTTTTAACATTGCAAACTTTCAGAAAAAACTATATATTTTCCGTTCTGTGCAACATAGAAATACAAACTAAAAACAATCTGAAAGACAGTAACATTTTTCCACATATACACAAAAGAGCAATTTTTAGAAACGAAAATTAACTGTGATTATTTTGTCATGAAATGCAAAATATGATCTTTATTATGTTATGAAACTCCAGAGGACTTACTTGTAGTCATTTTTCAACCTTGAGACTTGGTGATATTGTAAATATAATCACTATATACAATAATATTTTGTTCAGACTGTACACGAGTTTGAACTGCATCACTTCCCAGTTTACGAGACCTCACTCTCTGACGCGCATGTGCCACTTCTTGAAGCAGTCCACTACACATAGCACAACATCACACTTTTTACAATAGAAAATGGTGCTTCTGCTTTTGTTATTTAGCGAACACACACAGCGTCTGTTTCCCTTTGGTTGACCAGTGTTGTGAAGGTTTCCCATCCAGTTGACTCAGTTGGGCCCCAGATAACCTTGGCCTCCCCTGAGAAATGCCACTGACCGTGATATTCGCCTTGTGCGATTGAAGAATTATCCTGGGGGAGAGGAGTTCCAGCAAAATCAAATAAATTATGTTGATTGACAAGCGACACTCTCACCTGTTAGTAATACTCACAAAATAGTGATGCAAAGTAATTATAATACTAGTCGAAAAGAGTGCCAGTCCAACACTGATACCGATAGTCAGTGGCGAAGATGCCTTTTACTCACAAAGTAATACTGGCTCAGTAGGTTCATACCTCTTCCAAGACACAAAGTAAAAATGATGTATAAAGAAATACAGGGTGTTTCACGACTTTAGGGCATAACTGCAGGAGGTGATTTCCTAGGTCTTTGTGATCAAAAAAGTTCATATAAACATGTGTCTGATTTTGGGCAGTTACGGAGTTATGACCGTTTTTTCATTCCCGTACACGCCATCGTGTGAACCGCATCTGTCAGCTGGCCGGTTGCTATTTTTAGCCAGCTACAGACAGAGCGCTCTCGTTATCTCAACACTTGAAATGTACCTAAGGCGGGGAGGGTTGGTATGTCCGGCGCGGTTCACAACCGAGCGGCAACCTGTGTTGCAGCCTGCGGTGGCATTTTCGAAAATCAGCTTTAAGCACCAATAAATTCAAATTAAAGGTAATTTCACGAAGTTAACTTTACATTCATACTTTAAATGTGTCATGTATTATGCTGGTTTATTATTTTGTTCCGTTTATTGTCAGTAATCGTTACCTTCTATTCTGAGTTTAAAATGGTCATAACTCCATAACTGTCCAAAATCGGACACATGTTTATATGAACTTTTTTGATCACAAAGACCTAGGAAATCACCTCCTGCAGTTATGCCCTAAAGTCGTGAAACACCCTGTATGTGAGTCTGACGCTGAATTTTAAACTTATAAAGAAATATGACAATTCGACACTGACTTCCTAATTGATAATTCACTACTGAAAACCAATCCTTGAATACATCACACTTCTTGAAAGCTCTAGAAGCACTGATCTGGGAGCACAGATGAATATTTACTCCTCAGTTCTCAAAACAAAGCTGCCTAGTCTAGTAGCTTCCTTGAGGGTACAATGGCTGGAGTGTGAAGTTACCACTCATCCATCTAGAATTGTCGTTAAATATGTATTTAACATTACCTTGATACACACTGTACACATTTGTGGCATGCTCAGGGCCAGGTAGAACTTATTATGTGTGATTAGATCGGCAGGGCATGTAGCACAAATGGGGCAGAGATGAATGCATGTAGGATATTGGTGAGAAAACCATAAGGAAAAAGACCAAGACATGGGTGGATAATATTAAAATGTGTACTCCTGCAGCTGCTAGCCTTGGAATTTGACTCTCTTTTATAGACACGGCAAGGACAACACATCACAGTAAACACATGCTCTTCACTGTTGTGTGACATCACCATGTATGTGAGAACATGCCTAGTGCGTGCTTGGCAACAATCCATGCACGGACCGCAAAAAACGCTGCTCCTCTGTTGTAGAAAATGCATGTTTATTGGCCTGTTACCTAGCAGTGGGTCAATACTTCACATGTATTCTCTCAGATTGCCACTTCTCAAATCATTACAACGAAATTAATTGGAGTTAATTTTAGTCCATTGTGCTTCTTTACACACTATTTTTGAAGAGTTTAGATGCTTGGAAAATGAAGCATTATGTTTATAATCCATAAGGGTGAAGCTGAAAGCACGTGTTTCTGTTTTCACAGTGATGAAATATTGAATAGAAGCCTAAATTTTGGAAGTTAGGTAGAAAATAGCTAATGCATATCTGCCAGGCATATATAAGCCTATATTATTTACACTGGCAATAAAAGGTTGAAGCAAACAGCATATTTTGATACTGGAAGTACTTCTGATTGAATTTCTTACATTTCTGCTGCAGCTAAAGTGAAACAAGTAGCAGAACTGAATATTGGCATATTGACTCAGTGTGTGAAGGCAAGAACAATGTCACGTATGAATCCTGCTACATGTTCCAACATTCTGCTGAAAGTCAATTCAAAACTGAATGGTGTAAACCACACATTGGCTCCAATATCACGGTAAGTCATTTGTGTAATATGTAAGTATTCAGGCTTTTGTGGCAGTTTGTTGTTAATCTTTTTTTCCATTCTTGAATTGGGACAGAGCGTTGTGGTTGTCTAATTCATCTGTATTCTAGAGAGCCTAGCTTTTTCTTTTTTCAAGACAGAATGACTGAACAGCAGCCAAATGGTGATGTCTGTAGTTCACTGTTATGTTTCAGTAACCCTTTGACAAAGTCACTCCATGAGGCTGAGTCCTCTTTGAGAAGCCATCAGTCACTAAGCTGCTCAAGAATTTTCCAACATTTTATGGAACCTGAAGATTCGTTACCACGTTCATGGGAACCCACCACTAGTCCTTTTCCTGAGCCAGATAAATCCAATCCATACCAACCCTGCCTATTTTTCTTGCTATCTTCATGTCTTAATTCTTCACATTATCATCATTCGTTTGGCTTGGATTTTATAGCCATTGCAGTTAGGCTTGTTTCCTTTGCCAAACCATGGGTTACGCTGCTTCAGTTCGTAATAACGAGACTCACTCACTCTGAAGTTTTTGTATTATCTAATATTTTCCCAGGCTGTGCTACTATCCACACCATAATCTAAGTTTTCCAAAGCAGAGAACCTGTTTGATATTTAAATGTGATACTGGGTTTACCCTCTGCCTCATATACATTCTTGAGACTGAATCTCTCCATATAAAACTTTTGCATTGCATGTTTACTTACTGCCAGTCTCTTAAATTTTGCAACAACTAGAGAGTGATCGGTATTACAGTCCACTTCCCTGAAAGATCAGACATCGTGTGCATGCAAATGCCATCTCTTGTCTATCAAAGTGTGGTCAGTCTTATTCTTTGTCTATCCAGGAGATGTGCAAGTGAATTTTTTGTGTTGCAGTGTGGAAATATTGTACTCTTGACAATTTGAGTTTTGGATGTCACAAAGATTACTACTCTAACTGCATTATAATTAATAATTTCATGGGAACTCCCATTCATAACTGTTGGTTTGAGAATATCTTCTCTACCTACTTCATTACTGCTGTTCAGATGAAAACTGGGAATGCTGGCCTTGAAAATGGACTTGAATTGTAATTTGTTTTGCTGTTGATCACATATTCACCAATTAGAATTCCAGATTCCTTACTCCTTTGTATAGATCAGAACTGTAAATATTGGTGTTATGCTAGTTTTTAGTCACTTCGCCTTGAACTGAGAGGTTCCCTGAAATGCCAGTAAACTGAAGCCTCTATGACTTATACAGGATGATTTATATAGAACCGGCCCAACGAAATGAGCTGTAATATAAAATATACCATACAGATATTAAAGTAATTTACACATATCTTATCTTGGATCGTGTTCTGTGATCAGAGCAGGTGTTGAAAGTGTCCGCCGTTTTCAAGTAGGCACTAGAAACGCTCACTGTTCAACAGTGTACTCCATGACTGTCGCCTGCACGTGCCATTTGACTCAGCATGGCCCACGGATTATTATGTCATAATTGTGAGCAGTTATATGCATCACCTGCGGAATTATTAGCAAATTCATCAGGCTGGTTCTATACGATTCACCCTGTATTTCTGGTAAAGATGCCCGTAAACCAAGTTCCACCATTAATTTTGGATATATCTTCACCTCCCATAACTAGGACCTTTTCATCCAAATGGGCAGATGTTCAGGGCCTTCCCTGATATTAGGGACTTTGTCGTACAAACATCAGTACCATATGCTTGAACTTTGCATGTTATTCTTGAATGTCTCAGGAATATATTTGTGCACTTCTTGGTCTGTGTTATAATCGGTTTCAGTAATTATGGCAAATGTTTTGCTCTTCGGTGTCAAGAGCACAACCAATAAATGGGAGAGAGAGTGACTGCATGATCCAAATGTAACATTAACATGAGAACTTGTAACTAGTGACATCCTATCATGGTTTCCCAAAAGTACATAACAGTAAAGAGAACTGGATTAAGTGAATTGTGTAAGGTCACTGTGGATGCTCATAGGAGTGAATATCATCACATTTCATGTATCAAATACAGGTAAAATTAAAGCAAATGGAAACATTTTCTTCGTCTGAATAAAAGTTTACATTTATGTAATATGTTTATAAATGGCCTGTTTGGCATAAAATATTTGCAGTAGAAGTAATCGAGATCCACAGAAATATGTAGCAGTGAGATGTGTCTGTATTTTGAGCAACGTCTGTCTGTAGTGAAGAGAGACTGCTGGCAGTAATGTAGTGGGAACATGGTTTATGCACTGCATTGTATATTATAAAAACTTTGTTATGAATAATTAAGCATTTGAGCTTGAGATTTGGGGTACATTTAAATACGTGGTGCAATCCAAAAGTTCCCAAAATATATTAATAAAAACTATTACATCTTACCTAGATCTTATTCTGCACCATCACCTTCAAAGTAGTCCCCTTGGGAGCGCATACACCATTCCCAGCGTTTATGCCACTTTTCAAATGCATCCTGGAAGTCTTTCTTTGTTAGGGTGTTTAGTACAGTCTGCGTTTCGACTTTAATTTCCTCAACTATATCAAATCTTCGCCCCTTCAACTATTTTCATCTTGGGGAAGAGAAAGAAGTCGCATGGAGCTAAGTCTGGCGAGTATGGTGGGTGGGGAATAACTGCCATCTTGTTTTTAGCCAAAAATTCCTGCACAATGTAAGCCGTATGCGGTCATGCATTGTCATGATGTTGTACCCAGTCGTTCGTGCGCCACTTCTATGGACGTTTTCTCCTCATGTTCTCCCTCAAACGCCTTAGAACATCATGATAGAACTCTTTATTGACTGTCTGGCCAGGAGGGACGAACTCCTTATGAACAATCCCGTCAATATAAAAAAAAACAGATGAACATGGACTTAATGTTGCTCTTGACTTGTCTAGCTCTTTTTGGCCGAGGTGAAGAAGGACTCTTCCATTCCGACGATTGCTGCTTGCTTTCAGGGTCGTAGCCATAAACCCAACTTTCGTCACCAGTGATAACCTTCGAAAGAAAGTTTGGATCCTCTTGAAGCTGTTGCTGAAGTTCCCTGCAGACTTCCAAGAGATGCTGCTTCTGTTCATTTTGCAGCAGTCGTTTCACAAACTTCACCGCAATCCTCCTCATGTTCAGTTCCTCTGACAAAATTCGTTGACATGAACCATAATTTGGTCCCAAGGTGTCACAGAGGTCTTTGATGGTTGGTCTACGATCTTACAGAATCAGATCCCTAACTTTCGCAACATTTTCTGGTGTTTTGCCCGTTGATGGCCATCCCGAACGATCCTCATAATCAGTCAGTGTTCAGCCATTTTTAAAACGCTTATACCAGTTGTAAGTTTGTGTCTGGCCTAAACTGTTTTCACCAAAAGCTTGCTTCAACATTTGGTGCTTTTCTGCAGCAGTTTTCCCAACTTTGAAACAAAACTTTATACAGACACACTGCTCTCTCAGGTCAGCCATCGAAAAACCACAAACTCGCAGAAACACAACAATGGAAATACGTTCACCAACAATAAATCCAACCACTCAACTCGACGCCGCTTGCCACACTGATTCAGGAAGGATGTGTGAGGAGACACCTAGCGGTATTTCGATGTACTCATAACCATTCGCGCACAAAATTCAAATTTCGGAAACTTTTGGATTGCCCCACGTACATTGGGGCTGGAGTTATTTCTGGAAATATCAGCGCAAATGAAAGAAATATTATTTCACTGCCACCAAGATGAACTGTGGATGGACGTTACTGAGGTATTGTTAGGTACAACCATATATAAGGAAAAGCCAAAATTATATACCAACTGAGAAGACATAATAGTTCCAAAATCCAATCCTCATTCTATTCCTGTATTGTTCAGAAGTATTTCATAAGCCAGAGCCACAGGGTTAGGTTTAAATTTTCAAGATCACTCTACTTTATTGCCAGGCCAAAATGTTTGCAGCGCCCAGTTATGATAGTAGGAGCTGATGTTACCCATCCATCACCCGACCAGACTGAGATCCCTTCTGTTGCTGCTGTAAGTATATTGCACTGTGACAATATTTAACAGCTTTCATGTTGTTCATGTCTTTTGTGCTTGTTAGTGTTCTGTTAACAAATTATCATTCCGTGTAATTTCTAAAATACTAAAGGGTAAGATAAATGAAATAACCATTTTCTTAGTTGTTTTTTGTGGTAATGAAACATGGTCTCATATTTTTATATAATACTGACTTTATCCAACTATAAAATGAAAATTATGTGAATAGTATTACGAGCATATTCAGGAAGAAAGGTCAATATTGTGACATGTTGAGCTATGGATGACGCCCCTCCCCCCACCCCCCGCCATCCGTGATGCGCCGAGCGAAGCCGAAGTGAGCTGAAGTTAGCCGAGTCCTAGCATCCTGGTCACTAGGCAACGCGAGTCAACAGCAATGACGTCACCAAGTGTACCGTGGGTTGCTAGGCAGCGTGGGTAACCAGGATTGCGAGAGACGACGGTAGTAACAGCGGTTACTGCCGCTAGCGTTGCTAGCAACACAGCGCCAGGCAACAAGGGTGCTTATTACGTGGCCATTTTCTGTATTGTCCGATCGAGGCTACATGAGGCGCAGCGAAGGCTATTCACAGTTAGTCCTGGAGCTACCTCCGAGTTAGTTCCGAGTTAGCCAGCAACTAGTCAGTTGTATTCTGGCATTTGGAGTGTACTATTTGTGATACTGCAGGTAGCAGTAATTGTAAATCTGTAATTTGGGTGATTGTAAGTGCGAATGTGAAATAAAATTCGCTATACCAAATACGGCGTGAAGTTATTTGTCGCGTTATACGCCCGACACGCAACAATATGTTACAGAAGGTGAAAAATTTGGGAACTATGATTTATCCATAGAGTATTGCATCAGTATGAATATGTTTCAGAGGCAGTAATTTCTTGATTACCGTTACCAGCACGAAGGTAAAGCTGTCCCTGTAATAGGGTGAGCAGGCCCATAGGGTTGTGAGACATCAGGGCTCCCACATTTTCTCTAGACAGTTGGCTCACAGATGGTGGTAAGGTTTTCAGCCTTACACACCAGCCGCCCTTATCCCCAGGGAGATACCTGGCGCTCGTTTCTGTTAGAGGATGAGTTTACCCAAGGGTCATGGTGTGGCTGGAAGGATTAAGTAAATGGGGGAGGGGAACTCATCAGAACTCGAACCTGCAGCCTTCTGGCTTGTAGCATAGTGCCTCAACCAGCTACTCTACCACGTGCCCCTAACAGCATTCACTCATAGAGCTGAGCCCTTCTTGAGAAGCTGCCACTTGTGTAACCACCCATGAACTTCCCAGCATTTTATGGAACCCCAAGGTTCATTACCTTGTTCACAAGAACCCTTCACTGGTCCATATCCTGAGCCAGACTAATACAATCGATGCAATCCTGTCCTATCTAAGATATATTTTAATATTGTCCACCCATCTACATCTTGGTCTTCCCAGTGGTCTCTCTCCTTCAGGCTTTCCCACCAATATCTTATATGCATTCCTCTTCTCCCCCATTCGTGCTACATCCCCTACCCATCTCATCCGCCTTGCCTTGGAGAAGAATACACGTTATGAAGCTCCTCATTATATAGTAGAACTTGGTTATAACATCATCAAAAGGACCTAAAAATAGTGTCGTTATAAACGAATGTCGTTGTAACCAAAATGGGCACTTCCACAGTAGCCTTATGTTAGTCACATAACAATCTACCAAAAACCGAGTTAAAATGTTGCATTTTTTAGTGAAATACATAGTTAAGTACAGACTAACGTAACATTAACGTGGAATTGCCCAAATGTGTAATATCAAAGACATATTGCAGCGCTTTTCACTGACAATACACACACTATTTCACGAATCACTTTAACTTTCTCTTCAATGCTTAAAACTTTCCTTTTCATTGCCATGTTTTTGCTACTGCACTTCTCTGGGTTTAGGCAGGAACACTATAGGGTAAGTAGACAATGTGAGGTCCTGTTAGACGAGATTCTAGGAAAGGAATGCAGTTAACAACCTGCCGCGTCCTCTTGCACTATTCACGCAGTCCCACCCCACACCCTTGTTTTCGCATAAAACCCACGCTCCTCTTGCAGCCCGCGGTCGTATTCTTCCAGGACATTCACGTCAGCAAGTAGAGAAAGTGAAGGTGGGCAGACACATCGAACTTTCCCACGATAACAGAAATTCAGGAATGAAAATGACGTTACATACACGTTTGATGGATTTGTGCATGTCGTACTAAGCAAGGTATAAAAACAGTAGCTTTATGAGGAATTAGTTCGTACCATTGAATATTTGACGCAATAGACAAGGTGTCGCAGAAACCGATGTTGCTATAACCAAGTTTTACTATATATTTTGCACACATAAAATTGTTCCAGTTCTGTATTTTATGAAACCATGACCCTACCTTTGAAGAACATTTCATAATGATGCAGCATCCATGAGGCAAGAATCCATATGTTAAATGTCTTTGCTAATATGTGATCATGGACACAGGGCGCTTTTTAATATACAGATTCCTTCATTCTTATGACTTTCATATTATCATCCAAGTTTCAAACTAATGTTATAGTATGCTGAAGGGCCTCATAATAACTACTTCCAAGCATGCAGAAGTATGTGTACAGTGTAACAGGGGCCAGTGAACAGCAGTGGAGGAAATACATCAGCTGCTATGTACAGGTTTTGAACTTGACTAAGGTATTATGGAGAGGTGCAAGGGAAAGAGGGTGGAGTTTATGCTAGAAAACTTCAGCTGGAAAAGTAAAGAATTAATTTTGTTTAAAAGTGGCTGCTGCAAGGGTCTTTTCTCTTAACCCACAGCTTTGAATAAGTGTAATACATTACTAGTTTTTGAAAGTTGTTAGGCCAATATTTGGACTTAAAGGGATGAGGCTATTCAGAGGCTTCAAGAAAGCCTCAGATTCAATTAAAAGTGAACTAATGAATAACATTCTTGTTTTTGGATTTGAGGTTCTCCTAGTGACAACTGTGAAGAGTACAGTCTTCATTGTAATGGCATGTAGTTCAGAGAGAGCCAAGCATGATGTTACAACCCAGAAAGACTGTACTTAGCATTCTTATTGAATGTGGTATATGCATGAAATTATTTGAGTGTTTAAATGAAATGTATTATAAAATTCATATAGGTAAGTCTGTGTCCTTAAATGAAATGTATTTTAAAATTCATATAGGTAAGTCTGTGTCCTATCCATTTCCTAGCTGGAAGGTTACAGGTTCATTTCTCGATGAGGCCATTGGAGTTTTCAGTTGACCTAATCCTTCCAGCCTGAGGTCACCTCAGCTTCTAACAGAAATGAGTATCAGGAATCTCTCAACTTCGTTTTAGAATATGCCCCTAGAAAGGTTCAAGGAAACTGTAAGGAACTGAAATTCAGTGGGAGACATCACCTTTCACTATATGCTGATGATTATAATTTACCAGACAAGAACATAAGAAGCTCTCTCAGGCACTAGTAAAGAGACTGGTCTACAAGTGAATACAGAGAAGCTAAATGATGTCCATTTCTTGTCATCAGAATGCAGGGCAAATCATAATGTAAAGAGAGCTAATTAAAAATGTAGCAAAGTTGAAATATTTAGGAATGACAAATTAAAATTGGTACTAATTGGGGAATTCTTGTTACCATTGGCTTGAGAATCTTTTGTCTTCCTGTTTTATAAATAAAGAATTAAGAATCACAAAGTGTGCAAAACTATAATTTTCCCTGTAGTTTTGTATGGATATTTCATCCTAAGTTAATGACATAAATTGAAGGTTTTGGGGAACAGGGCATTGAGACTGTTTGGTTCTCAGAGGGAGGAAGTTACTGGATGGTGAAGAAAATGTGTAATGAGGATTTTCATAATTTGTGTTCTTCACCAAACATTATTAGGATTATCAGATCAAGGAAGATAAGATTTGTAAGGCATGTACATGGTTCAATCCCAAAGTTCCCGAAATTTGAATTTTGCGCATAAATAGTTATGAGCACAATGAATTATTGTTATATAATAATTATTATTAATTATGTGGAAAAGATTGAAAATGCACTTTTTTCTCATACTACTTAATTTTTCTTAACGTTATCACTTGCAGACTAAAGCCACGGAGGGTTTTCCCCCCTATTGTGCAGGCACCGTTGTCCTAACCTCAGTCCAATATAAGAATGTTATAATCCATAAAGTAGTCTTTATATATTTTATTTAGGTCATTGAAAAATGATTAACACTCCCTCCAAAACTCCAGAAAAGTAGCAGTGTCAAATGCGAGCCAGTGTATATGGGAAGACACTGTAGTGCCGCCTATGGCCACGAGATGACATTGCTACTGCACACAGGTCGAACAGTGCTGCGTCATTCATGGCGGTGCACAGGTGCAGTTGTGGACAACACTCAGACAATCATGGGCAATGGTGGACTGCGTGGTTTCTCTGGAGGGAAAGAGTGACTGCTTCACACATTCACACAAGGTTAGCAGTCGTATGTGGGGAAGCAGCACCAAGTCACAGAACCGTGTTTCGCTGGATAGTGGAGTTCAAAGACGGCAAGGACTGCGGAAAAAGGCAAAAGCAGTGGGCATCCAGCAACTGCATGCACACCAGACAGTACCCAGCCTGTGTCCGACTTGATACTGGAGAACAGGCTCATCACTTTCAATGAACTAGAGAACACAACAGGTTTGTCATGCGGAACACTGCACAGCATCATCCATCAGGACTTGAAGATGAAAAAGGTCTGTGCTCAATGGGTGCTCCAATCTCTCGCCATTGTGCAGAAGCAGAAGCATGTGGAGACATGCCAACAGTTGCTACAGCTGTATAGCGCAGATCCGGTGGAGTTCTTTGAGCGTCTAATCATGGTTCCGGCATGAGACTCCAGAAAAGAAACGCCAGTCCATGGAGTGGAAGCACGCTGGGAGCCCTCCTCCCAAGAAGTCACGACTGGGACTCTTCGTCCAGAAGCAAATGGTGACTGTGTTCTTGGATCAGGAAGGGATCCTTCTGTTGGATTGGCTGCCCCCCAATATGACCAACGACAGTGATTGGTACTGCAGTTCACTGTGCCAAGTCCACCGATGCATTCAGCAATGCCACCACGGAAAATGGGGGCACAGCGTTCTTCTCCAACATGACAAAGCGCGGCCACATGGCAGTCGGCAGACCATTGCCACCCAGGGTGCTCTAAGGAACACCGTTCTGCCTCATCCGCCATACTCGCCCAATCTTGCCCCTAGCAACTCTGCTCTATTCGATACAATGAAAGACATCATGCGGGATAAGACGTTCACCTCGAACGACAAGCTTCAGAGCACTGGCCAGTGTAGGGAGGTACAGCAGATGGAAGGAAGGGTAATTGTAAAGGCTCTTTGTACCTGATGATGGTTACAATAGGCTGAAACATGCAATATAGGCAAATGAATATTGTGCTTGTACCAGGATTGTGTCAACTGATTTCTGTACTTTAATGCTGTAGGTAAGTGCCAGCCATGACCCAAAGGCATTCATGTACAACGTCCGCATTAGATTACAGCCTCCAAGGGTAGAGATCATTGAAGACCTGGAAAATATTATGAAAGAACAGTTACGCTTCTTTTATAAAAGCACTAACTACAAACCAGAGAGGATAATATTTTTTCGAGATGGTGTAAGTGAAGGACAGTTTGCACAGGTAAGATTATGGACTTAACATGGAGTGTAGAAATCAATATATTGAGTTTATTTGTTGCTTATTTTTGTGTGAGCTTGATGACAGCAATTGAAGCCATTTCTTCAATCCCACATCCAGGCCACCACTTCCCCCCACTTAGTTCTCAAGTTAAGAATGTCTGGAGCCTTACTTCCATGCTCAGTATTTGTCTTCGAGGCGTTATACATAGTCACAGTAGGAATGTTACCTTGATATTTTCATGCTTGGTTTGTTTTTTAAAATTAAACACAGTATTGTACTTGTTAGTTATTGTATTTGGTGATGAAATATTCAGAATTTGACTTACAGAAATCTTGATGTGTGTACCAATTCCATTGTACTAAGGTCTTCTTTGAAATATGATGATTATTCAGCTGCTCTGTGAGTGTCATACTTATGTAACACTCAGAGATTCGTAATGGAGTTTGGAAAAGTTCATCTTTGTGTGTCTTGAGACAGTTGAAGCAGTCCACGTTTTTACATCCTGTTCTAAATTCCATTTTAATATTATCCTCTTCCAGTTTTTAAATGTTGAGAACATTATACGAGGTTACAAATGGAATGAAGCCATAAGTAACAGAAATTATAACAATTTGTAATTATTTATACTACTAAGTAACTGAAGTTCTGTTGTTGGCTTTATTACCTTGGCAATGTGCTCAGTGAAGCACATAGGTGGATGTGGACATATTACAAGTGAAATTATAAATGCAAGCTTCTTAAAAATGCAGTCCGTTTTGGTCCGTTGCTTACAGTTTAGGAGTTATGACCATTTGTAACAAATACAGCTAATTCAGTGCAATGCTATAGGCAGGCTGCCAGCATATAATGTCATGCACTGATAAGCTATCCTCTTGTAATAATCATGCTGCATATATGAGAGAGTAAAGGAAGGGAAAGCTGTTAGAAGAAGATACTCATAATAATGTACTCAAAAGAAAAAAAGTTAGATGCCAAACAACAGTGTGAGTATAGTGAAACACATATGAACTTATCTGCCGAACTGTGACACTCTACAGATTACTCTAACTGTAGCACACAAAATAAAGTCTTCATTCTCTGCTTGCTAGTTGTTGCTCAGTAATGAATCTTACCTGGTTAACACTTCACCTACTGAACTGTCTTCTCAATTCTATTACAAATGAATGAATTGAATTCACAAATGAACCCTCTTGTATAAGTTCAGGAGGACTGAATAGAAGCTATTGGTCCCCTGTATCCATCGTAGCAGAAATGCCTGGTGATTCCAAAATTCCTCATATCCAGAGAAACCTTTGCTGAATATTTGTTGGCATGAGAATGAGTTTTAGCTAGCCATTGCCTACCAAGCGAACTTCTGCTTGTTTGTTGCTATTCCGGCTTTCAGGTGGTGTTTACCGAAACGTTGCCTAGCAAAGAACAGTTGGAATATTTGATACAGACCCCCCCCTGTATAAATACTGCAACTTTAGCCAACATATTTAAATGTGTATAACATGCCCGAAGATACTTATGAATTAGATGAAATCAAGCAACGTTTTCAATGTTCCCCAGTCATGAAAGTTGGAAATAGCAAAGGGGAGAGTGAGTACAAGGAATGTTACACTGTTTCTCGGTGGTCTCCTCTTTCCCTGTACCTCAGCTGGCTGACCAGCCAACAGCTCAAAACTTGGAGATGTTTTGAGACTTCTGTACAACTCCACCAGTGCCTCCTTCAACACAGGAAGGGTCTCCATGGACACACTTTTACAGATCGAACATCTGACTTGGCTTCCTCTCGGGCAGCCCTGCGGTGATTGTGTGTCTGTCAGTAATCACAGATGGAAGGGTGTTGAGGGTTTTATGGCATAGCTTGTCCACTATCTAGCCCATGGCTGTTGGCCTGTCATCACACCTCTTGGCCAGTAATTTGGGTGTGAAGTAGGTAATGATATCAACTGCTCCCTCTTCACAGCAGCCCTTACTCGTTTTCAAAGTCCTGGCCAGACAGTCTCTCCTGAAGTGACCAACATCCCAGCATTGCCAACATACAGATCCTGTAGTAGTCTGTAACTAGTGACCATGTTGTCATGGGGGCTTTAGCCCTTACCTCCCACAGCTTCACCAGAGGCTCAGCTGACACCTTCACAGCCTCTAGTTTCGGGGCCTGGTTATGGGCTTCATTGAGCGACCTCTGCCACCTGTAAAGAGGTACTGTTTTAGGTCATGGCCCTTCCTGTGAATGAATCCTCAGGCAACTCAAAAAGGGTCTGGTGGACCAACAGGTCAACAGCCACTGCAGGTTATTGTAGCTACTTGCCTCTCACCTAGGCCCTTGGGTTTGTATTGCGACCAGTGAGCCACTGCCAGTTGGTTCTTCCTTATTTCACTGCTCCAAAACCACCTGCAGAGCAGAATCCATCGTCCATCCCAATTATGACACCAGTTGTAATGTTTATCTTATTTTGGAGCAGTTATTTTTTCACTAACATTCTTGATACCGTTTTATTCTTGTTAACTGTTTTGTCAGTGTATACTGCTGCGCTATTCTCTTCCATCTTATCACTGCAACCTGCACTGTACACACTGTTTCACCAATCACAATGTCTGTCTGCAGCTTCTAGCTTACAGTGACACTCAACAGATCTGCCTCCTCTTTGCCTTGTAACCAACATTTGATACATGTTATATTTCTACAAAGTTGAATGCATATGCAAGAAATGAGGCACACTCCATTTTTTGAACATGAGTGGAAACTTCAGTAAACGAAAGCTGTGCTCATGCTGGCATGTGACCCACCTCTCCCATGCACTGACTCTGCACCCCAACATTATGTCCCTCATGCTTCACACTGTACATGTTGGAATGTTATTTTCTGTAGTATATATTTTGACATTCCAGTTTTAACATATCAGAGACTGGTGGTGGAAAACATGTATCCCCAGGTGTCAAGTTTCAGTAACATTTAAACTGTTTACTTTTTTTGTGACTGGTCTTATAGATGCTATTGATTGTTTCTGGGTCCACTGTTACCTAGTGTATGGCATGTGTGCAAGAAATTTAGAGACTTGAGTTTTAGGTCGCACCAAAATGAGACTGTGAAAGAACTGATTATGTCATTGTCAAAATAAGTAAGGAATTAGTTACTTGCAGATAGTGTTTCTGATCTGTATACATATAACTGGGATGATTGTGATAGCCATAAGTAAGCAGTGGCAATGGAATTAATGAGAATATTTAAGTTATTTGCATAAGACTGATGACAAACTGTGTGGTTATGTAGTCAAAAATGTCTGTTGTATGTTCCCCTGACATGTGGTCTTCAAATAGATTAGGTATGCCATACGGAACTATTAGGCTTATTTTGGACTCTATCCATTGTCTGGTATATATAAGCCAAAAAACCACAAAGTTTCAGAGACTGGATCTGTCTCCATCCTCAGGTGGGTGGGGCAGGATAAACCTACTCAGTTGGGCCCATTAGAAAGAGCTAGTCTCAATCACTGGGTTATCCTGTCCCATCCACCTGAGGACGGAGACAGATCCAGTGTCCGAAACTTTGTGGTTTTTTTGTCTTCTATATACCAGACGATGGATAGAGTCCAAAATAAGCCTAATAGTTCTGTACAGCATACACCATCGTCAGAATCCTTTCAAGTCTATCAGGTAGGTGGTTTAGTTTTGCAGTTAACTTTTTTCTGTAAGCAACTGTTTTCTTAAAATGTGGCTGGTCCTGAAGATGTTAAAACCAGAAAGCATTGTCACTTAGCAGAATGTAAAACTAATATATGTATTACATTAAACAGGTTTTGAACAGCGAGTTGAATGCAATTCGACGTGCTTGTTCTTCTTTGGATCAAGAATTTAAACCTAAAGTGACATTCCTGGTGGTGCAGAAACGTCACCACACTCGGTTCTTTCCAAGAGATGAGGATGCAGATGGGAGAAATAGGAATGTTCCAGCTGGTACTGTGGTTGATCGTGAAATTACTCACCCAACTGAAGTGGACTTTTATCTGGTTTCCCATGCCAGCATCCAGGTATGCTTCTATGAGAAAAGTCAAAATCAAATTAATTAGGCAACTGTAACTGTTTAACCAACCAGCTAACTATGTAACTCACTGTGTGCTATAGAGTCTTCATAAGTTGATAGTTGCCCAGCAGTACAAGAAATTTTCTGCTTTTATGTGACATGAAGGTTCATCACAACTGCTGTTACACAATGTCTTTAAGTCTATTGAATACACACGGTGTATTAGAGATGTTTTTCAATATTATTCTCCACTCCGTGTCTGCATCTCTAAAATTATCCCTTACTACAATGTTTTGTGTCCCAAACTGCATGTTAACTCTCCAGTCATTTTTTCTTTATTGACAAGATTCTGTATGAAATGTGATTATAATTCACGTCATGAAGTATTGACTTCACTGTACTGGTTATATGCCCAATGAAAGCATGCAGCATTGCCAAAGTAGAGCACCAAGTTTTCTGTTCAGCCATTGGCTACAATAATGGCACGACTGATGTTAGGTGTGGCTTTGTGAGACTAGGAACCAGAGTGTGGCAGCATGTCTGTTGTGATTGTTACAATATTGCTGTAACCAGCAATGCCTTTTGAACATAAAAAGTGTTTAAATGTGACTGGTGCTTGAAAGATTAATTTAGAAATTATGGTACAGCTTACAAATGAAATGCTGTTAATTATTTTATTGTTCTATTAAAATTCAGGTATTGATTATATTCACGCAAATATGGTATAAAATTTTATATTCACATTCAGCTATCTGAAATTCAACAACTACCGTGAGTAATGGACTGCATGCCTTGAAACTTGAATCTTTATTGAAATCATGTATATGTTACCAAGGTTCTATCTATCTGTGGCTCTACATCCCTTGTGGACCTTGGCCACTTTTTCAGTTTCTTAATCTGTACACAGTCAGTGCGACTCCTTGGGTGGGGGATCAGCCCTTCGCAAGGCCACTTCCTGCACAAAGAACAATACATATAGAATAAATGCACACAGACATCCATGCCTTGAGTGGGATGCAAACCCACGATCCAAGTGTACGAGCGGGTGAAGATGGTTCATGTCTTAGACAGTGCAGCCACTGTGATCAGTGTATTACCAAGGTTACATCTTGTAAATGACCATCTTCACTTACTGTGGTTTATGTAGATAGTCATTTACATGTAACCTTGAAACTTAGCAATTTACATAAGAGGGGGTGTTCAAAGATTTCCTGAAAATTGTCTCTAAATAATGTCACATTTTAGGGGTGTGACTGTAGATGGGGTATGGATTGGTGAATGGATTTATTGACCACATGTGTACACTTGCTTGGAACTACACTTCACAGATCACTGACACAGACTAGTGTCCTCAGCCTATTACACTCTCCACTAGCTGTTTCCTGGCAAAGGCCTCTACTGAGGGAGGTTCTTCAGCTTCCTGCACTCCAATCCTCTAGTCACAGCTGCATCTTTTTCTGCTTAGAGCTTGTTCAATATTATCCCCTTGAAAATAGTCCACTGGCACAACAGCGCACCTCCCCCTCTGCCTTTTCCAGTTTTGAAGCACTGTTCAAAGGATGTTTGTGTGAAGTCATTCGTGACATCATTGATGTCTTTCACTGTCTGAAATCTTCCTTTAAGATAATTTTGAGTTTAGGGAATGTATATAAAAGTCAGGTGAATGGCGTTGTGGAAGGATAGGAATGGAATGTTTTTCCAAGAATTCTCTAATTGAGAACACTGTGTGAACATTAATGTGATGGAGAAGCCAGCTGCCTACAGTCCACATTTTGGGTCATTTTCTTCGTACCGCATCCCACAGAGGTCTCAGAACCACCAGATAGAAGTCTTGATTAATTATCTGACCTTCAGGAGTGAATTCATAATGCACAGTGCCTCAATGATCGAAAAAAAGAACAAGCAGCATTGCTTCCATGCACAAGTGCACCTGTCATGCTTTCTTGGGACAAGGCAAAGCAGGACTTTTCCAATGTGAGGATTGGTGTTTGGGTTCAGCATCATCCACATCATCACCAGTAATGACATTTGGAGGAGATATTGACAGATGGGAAATCTTACAGTTTCTGGTCATCAGTTGAGAATCTTGGCACAGATTTTGCTGATACCTAATGCATTCCTAAATATTCCATTTGAATTTTGTGATGTGAACCAATGGATATTCCAGCCTCTTCTGCAGCTTCTCAGACAGTCAACAGATGATTTCCATGGAAGTCTTTCATGTGGACGATCAGAGGTTCGGGTGTTGAAGTTGAAGGTCAGCTAGAATGCTCATCGTTATTCATTGAAGTTCTTCCATTTTTGAAATGTGTGAAGCATACATAGGTGATCATTTGACTTGAGGCATCATCACTGCACACTTAATCCAACATGTGGGTTTCAGAAGCTGTTTTCCCTACTTAGAACAGAATTTATCGCAAATTCTTCGCTCCTTTAGCAACCTTACTAAACATCGCAAGACAGCAACATGCTGTATCTCGAAGCTGGTTATCAAAACTAAATGGAACATCTGATCTACTTGAAACAAAATGGCTTGCATAACTGTCAGGTTACAAGGACACTCAGATAACATCTAATGTGACTGATGCACTGCTGATTGGGAATACAAATAAATATGTATCTCTGAAGTTTAATTCTTTTTTTCAGGGTGTTAGCAGACCTACCAAATATCGTTTGTTGTGGAATGATGATGATGATATGACAGAAGACGAAATTGAAGAAATTTCATACTACTTATGTCATATGTTCTCACGTTGCACACGCAGTGTTTCCTACCCAGCCCCTACATATTACGCACATCTTGCTGCTTATAGGGCGCGTGTGTACTTGGAGGGGTAAGTTTAAAACAGTTTCAAAACTGTAAGGAATATATAATCACAAGCAGATGCTGTATTTGCTGGTGTACAATGAGTTTTTTCATCTTGTTTTTACCCTTTTTTCTTTCTTTCTTTCTTTCGTCTTTTTCTTAATTATTTACAATTACATGTGCCAAAAAATATCACTTTGCATATTTTGCCACTAAAAGATTTTGATATAACAATGAAAATTATATCTGAAATTGTGAGTTGTCATACACATCATCAAATGTGGTATTTCACATCTTGTACTTACCTTATCATATCTGAATGTACATTAAGGAATTAAATGCGCACAAAGTCACTGATGTTTTCTCTTCCAGACAGTTATTTATGTCATTTCTAAAAAAGTTTACGTGTATAATTTTTACTTGTGGAGATCCTGGCTGTGATAAATTTTCCAAATCTGAGCTCGGCATGTGCAGTGACTTTCATTCATGTTATGTTACTGAATGACAAACTGATCATGTATTGGGGAGAGACAGTTTCTTCATGCTAGTAAAATATTTTTTGATTGGTCTATATAGTTTAGTAAATAATTTCAAATAATGTTAACATAGACATAAGTAGAATAAAGTACTATATGAGCAATAGTGACTCAACAGAAGAACTACCTCTGCAACATTTTGGACTCAAGAGTTCTGTACTGAAATGCTCATTAACACTATATTAACCCTTTCACACTCAGCCTATTTTCCAAGTACCTGGCCTAGAACACTCAGACAAATTTGGCTCAGTTAACAAATCTCACTTCAAAAATTCACCAAGAATACAATTTTAGTCAAAAAGATGTGAAAAAAAATACTTATTCACTATAAACAGCAGATTTAAACAAAAATAGCTTAGAAATGCTAACACCAAAAATAATTTGAAAAGAAATAAAAACTGAAAGAATTAAATATAGAAATTTACGATGTACATACTTTAGGCAAAAAAAAAATAAAATTTTCTCTTTGGTCTTCTTCTCACCAAGCCTGTAAGGAAGAATATTTTTATGTAAATTTTGAATAAGTTTTATGCAGGAACTACATCACATTACGTAAAAGTGTATACACATACCTTTTGCCTTCTAACACCTGTGTTTAAGGAAGCATTCTGGGCTGCACCATAGCTCAAGCAGTTGGTCATTGGCTTCCCACCGTGGCAGCCCGGGTTCGATCCCGGGTCTGGTCAAGTGGGATTTGTGGTGGACAAAGTGGCGATGGTGCAGGTTTTCCCCAAGTACTTCGGTTTCCCCTACCAATCTTCATTCCACCAATTGCTCCACAATCACCCTCACCTATCATTTGGGGCCGGTACAATAGGCCAGAAGTGGCCTCAGTGCAAGGGACTTAGTCCCACCCCACTAGCAATTAAAAAAAAACGTTCTCCATGCAGAGCCTTGTTGCATCTGCAGCTGGGGTTGTGACATCTTCACTTGTATCATAAGTGTCATTTTCCAGAATAAGTCACTATCACTGTTAATTGTATCTAAATATTCCAGCATGTTAGAGTCATCTAACCTAGAGCTTGAACCAGTCATTGTGTAGTTAAAGAAGTAAAATAACTGACTATATATACTATAAACTCAGAAATATATAATGAAAATATAACTTTATTATAAAAGCAAAATACCACCACTCAACTATGATATATTCACAGTAAAACAACTAAAACCACAGACTGAAAAAAGCATGGAACCATCAAGTAAACATGTGATCTCAACATATTTCATTTGTTAAAAAAAAATTCCTTTATTGTGAAAGATAAATGTTAATACATAAAAGGCCCGGGCAGTGTCCATCCGGCCCTGTGTAACACATTCTTATAAGCATTCTTAATATGTGTATTAACTTAAATCTGAGAGTGCACTATTATTAATTTGTACATTTATTTCTTCTTTTCTTATATATCTGTTTTTAAATATATATAGGAATGTTGTTTATGAAGTAACAGACACCTTACACAAATCTTTTTTCTTCTAACCTTAAGAGCTCTGTAACTGACTTTGGGTATCCTTTCTTGCTGTTCTCAGACAGAATGTCTATCATTGTTGCCCATTGGCCCTCATACCATTTACAATACCAGAAGATACTTGGTGCTATCCAAAAGTTCCCAAAATATATTGTAACGTGTTTCGTTACAGAAGACGCCGTAGAGATGGTTAATTGGTTTATTTAACAATCTACAAATAACGGCTACAATTAATTATCACAATATTACGGGTTTCCACACTTTACAAACCCTACAACAAAGTCTCTTAACACCATCTTCACTTGTCTTCACGTACTAATAACGCGGGAGCTATACAAGTCTCCCTGAATTACACACTTTCACTCGTAACACGCCGCTGGCTAGATTCCAACTCTGCTCGCAAGATGCTGCTGTGAGAACTGTTGATAACACACTCGGCGACTGTCACAGTACAACTAACTGTGAATAGCCTTCGCTGCTCCTCATGTAGCCTCGATCGGACAATACTGAAAACGGCCACGTAATAAGCACCCTTTTTGCC